GAGTTACAATACAGAGGGGCACCAGAGCTTCTGGAAATAAACCCCAGTCTCTTAGCATGTGCTCCTGTGTCGCACCCTTTTGACACTGACAATCCAGCCTCTGTTAAAGTTAGTACAATCATCTCAAATCCCAGCACAAAAAACACAGCTGGTCACAATAGTGCTTGGGATTTTTTTTTTAAATGTGCTAAATCTTTTAACTAGGGGCTCCCTCCAAATTTCCCCCTTCTAAGGTGACGAACCCCATTTCCCCTGGGGTTCATTTACTTAAAAACAGGTGAGCTGAGGGAATCTTGAACCATGAATTTGTTTTCCCATGTTTTCTCAAAACTACGAACAAGGAGGGAGGCAACATCACACAGCAGACAAATGTAGGCACGTTTGTGGGGGTGGGGGCTGAACATCTATCTTAGCTATCTGTGTACTTGCCTGTTCTCTACCACCACAGTATCTGAGTGCATCATAAATATTATTGTGTTCCCTCACAACAACTCTATGATGTAAGGAAATATTACTATTCCCATTCCACAGGAACTGAGGCATAGAGAAATGTCCTCTGTAGAGGACTTGTTTGCAAAATGTCAGTAGTAGGGTGGCAGCTGGTAAAGTAGTACTGCATCTATTAGATCTAAGGCTATTGTTTCTCCTTCCCTGTGAAACTTCCTCCTCTCTCCCTAACTATGCCTGACAGCCAAACCTTAGAGTTGTTCCTCCCCTGCCTGGCTCATCTCCCTCTATAGCTGCCTTCTCCAATTCCAACTCAACAACAAACAAATCCTAGAGCTAGTGCAGTTCCCTCCCCATGAAAAGTAAAGTCCCTGTGCTTGCATTCCTTCCTTCTGGAGTCAAATCACTTCTCTTTTCCTCCATGCATTAGAGAAAGCAAACAAAGAGGAAAAAAATACCTCCATCTACGTCTCACTCCCAGATGCAGAGTCCTTTTGCTACAATTTCAGCAACTTTTTTCTATAATTGCAAACTACTGGCATATACTGCCCTACATTCCTGCTCTCACAAACACAATACACTGTGTGTTGAACAATAAGAAGAAAAGCTTTGTGGAAGATCAAAAGCTTGTCTTTTTTCACCAATAGGAGTTGGTCCAATAAAATTTATTACCTCACCTAACTTGTCTCTTGCACAAAAAGAAAGTCATTACCCTCCCTGCATAGGAACCAAATTAATTGACTTCAAAGGGTACCTTCACAAGCATAGCAGCCTGCCTGCAAGATCAGGACTTAGCTGAACACCTGTGGATTTAATGAAAGATTTTAAAGTGCATATTCAGTGTGCAGTTTTCAAATGCTCATATACCATTGGTAAATCTAAGCCAAGCAAATACTCTCTAGTCTTTAGTTAGGAATATACCCAGTTCAATTCAAAACTCAACCATTTTTGGCATAGTCCTGTTCAAAACAGCGTGGTTATAATTTGTTTATAGTGAGAAAAATGTTTGTCCTCAGTAGTTAGCTAAATTAGGAGTGTTGTGGGTTGTTCCAGTTAGGAAGAGAAATTGATGATACAGAGGTTTTTTTAATGCAATCTTGTTTATCCACAGACATTATACATAAAGTCCTGTTTCCCTGAACACAGTAAAAAGAAATCATACAGCGGGAGATAATTTTACTCATAGGTCCAAACCTTTCAACCAGTACTCCTACCCAAAACCTCACTCATTCCATGCAGTGTCTGGACCTTTTTGCTCCTTCTGTTTGTGTGGTGCCTCCCCTGGTGTGGCCTGTTGCCAACAAACAAACAAAAACCCAATACTAATCAAAGCCCTGCACTCACACACTTCTAATTCCTAGGCAGACTCACATCACATATGTTTTAGATGTCTCTTACTGCTACCTTAAATGAGGGGTGGTGGCCACACCCAACGGTTTAAGAGAGGTTTAACCCAACCCACAATAATATTTTTTTCCAGGAACCCATAACATAAAAGTGATTGGAGAGATTTTGCTCAACCCTTCCACAATAATTCACCAGTGGAGACCAGGCATGGAAAATTTCAGTGCCAAAGATGAATGTTCTGGAAAGTTATGACCATATGAAAACAGCAAGATATTATAGAAAACTATTTTATAATCTTAGCTATTATGGTAACCTGACTGGACCACTAGAATGATTTTTAAGCCTGGAATGGATATTGCACATTCCAGTGCCAGATTTGCTCAGGGCTGATTCAGGTACTGCTGCCAAACCTGCAGTTTCAGGAGCTGCACATCATGGGAACTTCTAGGAATATAATGCTGCTCATGCCCCAGAGTAGGGGGTAGATAATACAAAATGCTTCATGCTGACATTGCTCTGTGATAACTTGAGAGCATATAAAGAGTTGGAATATCTTCCCTTTTAACTTTAAAGCAGAGATGGGTATAACATTATCCAGGGTACAATCTGGACTGATGACCAGCTGTATGCCCTCAGTTCTCCAACCTGGGGTGCCTTTTACACTGCTTTGCTGTGAGGGCTACGACTTCTGGTCTGCTCAGACACAACCTCCAGCATGTAAGTCACTCCCAGTTATAATAGCTAGCTGTTCTTAAATTACACCATAGAGCAACATCAGCAAATTCCCAGTCCCAGACTTTCCCCAGGAATGTATATCTTGTACTGCCCAGCTCTCTCCTGGACAATACAAGCTCATATAAAGGCTATCATTTTATCAATAGAAAATGATATGCATAAATCCTGTTATCCCAAATGGAGTTTCTCAAACACTTCAATCCAAACACGAGTTTAGATAAAACAAAACAAATTTATTAACTACAGAAAGATAGAATTTAAGTGACTAAAAATAATGAGGCATAAAAGTCAGAATTGGTTACAAGAAAATAAAAGTAAAATGCAACTAATGCCTAACTTAACAAGCTATATGAATTCAAATCTCTCTTACCACATTTCAGCAGTTTTACTGGCTGAATTTCTTTCAGTCAGGTTACCTCCCCCAATCCAATGCTGTTTCCTTATTCTTCAGGCGTTGCTGATACCGCGAGTAGAGAGAAAAGGAAAGATAATTTGGAGCATCTGCTTTCTCTTCTTATAGTTTTTTCCCTTCTTTGAGAATCATCTCCAGCTGAGGTTCAGGAAGCAGAAAGTCTGTGTGGATGGGAACACCAAGCTGTTTCTTTGTCAAGATGTAGAATTTTTTTCTCACACCCTCTTTCCTGCTATAAGCTGTGCACTGTAGACATAGCCTTAGTAATATCATACAGTAGAATCTTATAACTTTAGATATGTTGCCACATATTTTACCAGGACAATAATGATCAGCAAATTATGAATTTTCAAATGATGTCTCTCACAAGGCATACTTTGTACAAAATGTATCATAGACTTGTAAAAAGGGTAAACATAGGAGTGCACACTGTCTAAACCCACATCTAAATCTACATTTTGCAGTTTGAGCCCAACTCAAGTTTAAATGGAATAGTTAAGATTATACCCCTATCTCCTAGTGGGGCTGTAGGGCAGTAATTTTTTCATTACTACCTAGGATCATAGAAGCTAAAGACAGGGAAGAGGTGTTATCGCCCCACAACCACCCCACTTTGTTTACCAATCAGGGCCGGCTCCAGGCACCAGCAAACCAAGCATGTGCTTGGGGTGGCACATTTTCAGGGGTGGCATTCCAGCCAGCCTTTTTTTTTTTTTTGCGCTTGGGGCGGCAAAAGCCTAGAGCCAGCCCTGGCAGCAGCGGCGCATCCTGCACGGGGGGTGTCCTGGGGCCGCTGCGGTTCACTTCGGGGAGCAGCGCCCGCACCTTATGGCCGGGCGGGCTCCGAGCACGGGACACTCGGGCTGGGGGCAGCCCCGCGGGGCGCAGGGAGCCGCCTGCAGGTGCTGCAGGGCGGCCGCCCCCCAGTGCTGCAGCCGGGACTGGGCGAAGTGGCCCGAGCCACCCAGGGACTGCAGCAGGGCGGCCAGGAGCAGCAGCAGAGCGGGGCCATAGTGGGGACTGGTGCCCAGGGCGCTGCCATGCGGGGCCCGCGTCCCGCTCGCCGGGGCTCCGCTCCCTCTGGGGCTGCCCTGCCCCGGCTCCTCAGCCCCCTGCCGGGACGGTCCCCCGGCTCTGCCCTCCCAGGTCCTGGCCGGTCCTGGAGGCGGAAGCCCCAGCTGGAGGGACCCTGGGCTGAGGCGCGGCCCAGGAGCCCTGCTGCTTACCCCGACCCTGCCAACGCTGGACCGACTGGAGGTGAGGGGGGGGGCGGGCAGAGTCAGCACTGGTGGAGAGAAGCCCAGGGCTGGGGCAGCGCAGCAGGGAGTGCAGGGGGGTCAGGGGGAGAGCCCAGAGTTGGGGCGGCAGGGGGTGTGGGTAGGGTGGGGAGGAGAGCCCAGATTTTGGGTGGCAGGGGGTGCGGGTGGGGTGGGGTGGGGGGGAGAGCCCTGGGGCGGGGGGAGGGGGGGGGGGGGGGGGGGCCCGGGGCGGGGGTAGGGGACAGTCAAATTTTTTTTTGCTTGGGGAGGCAAAAAAAACTAGAGCCGGCCATGTTACCAATAATAATAAAAAGAACCCAGATAAGCACAAATATTTATTTTAAATGTTAAAAAATATATATTTTAAAGTAAAAAAAAGTTAAAAACAATCGAGGGGGTGAAATGTTACAATCCTTTCAACAACTTTGTTAGGTTTTTTTTTTTTAACCCACTAACGTGGCCAATCAAGTCTCCCCCCCGAAAATCCTCAAAGAAGCGGTGTGCTGTTCAGTGTCTGTGTGTGTATATGTCTGTGTAAATGGCAACCACTATGACGGTTTATGACACAAATCTGGCCCCGCACAAGCACAGAACCACGAAGCCTCCGGCCCCCACCCCATGCACACTACGGCACGTTCTTCTGGGCTGCTCTGCGCGTGCGCCGATTTGCCCGCTCAAGTCACCTTGCCGGGGCCTCGTTCGGAGCAGGAGCCCCAGCCCGCGGCGCGGCCGTTCGAACTACAATTCCCAGGAGGCGCCGGGCCCCGGAAGCGGCTGCCTAGCAACCAGGTAAACCAGAGATGGAGGCGGAGGGGCCGCGGGACGCGTCAGGTACCGAGCGCGGGGGCAAGTTCCTTTTTTAATATACAACCGGTCGGGAAGTGACTGAGCAGCTGCCGTGTCGGGGGGACCTGTTCTTTGCTTTCCCTTAGCACAGGGCCCAACACTGACCTTTATGGAGGGAAGCCGAGTTGAATGAAAGTAACCGCTTAGCTCGCGCGAGAACGGGTGAGAGCACCTGGGCCATGCGGAGGATGGACAGTGCTGCCTAGACACAGATGTCAGACGTTTGAGTCGGTGACATTTCTGTTTAAAATGCAAATGCCTTGTACGTAGGTAACCCGCACACCTCCTGGGCGTGGTGTTCTGTCCCATCCAGTGGCACCGAGACCACTTCCAGAGAGAGAGAAAATGAGTCTGCTCTACAGCCTTAGCTAACAGCCAGCTGGCTTTTAGCTCATGGGGTAGAGGCTCATGCACTAAGCTCCAATGGCCCCAGATTCGATCCCACCCGCCGACAACCGGGGTCTGTCGGTGTTTCATGAACGCAACAGATCAGCAAGGTTCAAGGGCAGCACCTTACTGGTGAATCCAGACCACCTATTTTCTCCCTCTCAGACTTTAAAGCCAGAAGGGATCATCATGAGCATCTAGTCTGACCTCCTGCACTTCACAGGCCACAGAACCTCCCCCACCCGCTCCTGTAATAGACCCCAACCTCTGGCTGAAACCCTCAAATCATGCTGGGAAGGGAGAGGGTGCTGAGCCTAGGCCAATCCCCAGGGGGACACGGGGCACAGGGTGGAAGTGACGGATTCGTCTCTTCCGGGACTAACCGCACCGGCCAATCGCACCGGCCCGCGGGGGCCCCCCGTAGCGCAGGGTCTGGAGCGGTTGCCCCAATTCGCCCTGCCCAAGGGACAACTCTGGCTGTGCCTGGACCCTGTTTGATAGCCCTATCTTTTGAATAGCAGACTCTGACTAAGCTTCACCCCAACCTGCTGGAGGCAGAGTGTTTTCTATCTCTTCTCCCACCAGAACCATATAACTACTATAAGAAAGATAGTCTCAGAATCCTGGTTGTTGCTGGGGAGAGAAAGAAGAGAGGAAGGAGTTCTCTGCTACTATACCTCTCCCTTAGAGTCCATAATTTGGGTTCTCTTCCCCTGTGAATAGCTCCAGTGCCCATCTCTGTTACTAATAGTTTTCCATTGCAGCAGCAACATCAACAGGACATGAACAGCTTCACAACTAATCTGCAATTCAAATAAATACATAATAATAATAATAATAATACTTCTAAAGTTCTGAATAACAACCATTAAACTAATGAGTCATGTTAATTTCACATTGCTGCAGCTTGGCAAAACAATGAGCAACAGAAGACTATTAGAACTAAAGGCAACATTCCTTGAGTTACTCAATTCACATTGGGAAGATTTTCTTTGTAATAATGATAAGTACAAGAAGATTAACTTTTAAAAAATTAAATTCTGCAGAATTGCTGTTGTCCCCCTCATGAGAACTGTGAGCTAGTATCATGTAGTTCTATGATAAAAGAGGCAGGCTAACAGAAACACAGAGCTTTGTCTCAATGCCATGCTCTTGTTCATAAAGAAAAGGAAGAGGAAGATTCAGAGGAGTCAAGACAACAGGATTTAGAAGATGGAGAGAAGTCTGACATTTCCAAAGATCCTGAAACAGAGAAGCCAAATGAGTTCTCAACAGAAGGTGAGTGGAGGTTTTCTCCAAGTCTGATGAGAGTTTAATATTTCAGTCATCATGTAAGATCTTCATTAACTCAATAGTCTAAAAAGTTTAAATTAAAAATCAAAGTTGTAGAAAAGTGTAATAATTGGCAGGAAGTTCAGAACTGAAAGGTAACTAGATCTGGGTGTGACATGCCATTTTCAAAGGGGAACTCAAAACATAACCAGCAATATTTCATTTAGTTTCATGCATTGGATAAGGGACAGGGGAGAGGGTGTTCAACAATTCCGTTGTCATATAATCAGATCAATTGTTAATGCACTGGTACAGAGAAATCTGGATTGCTCGGTGATGAGCTGGGTGCAAGCAAACAATATTTGTTTTCATATAGCCAAATGTAAAGTTATACATCTAGGAACAAAGAATGCAAACCATAATTACAGGATGGGAGACTCTATCCTGGGAAGCAGTGACTCTGAGAAAGACTTGCGGGTCCTTGTGGGTAATCAGCTGAACATGTGCTCTGAGTCTGATGCTAAAGCCAAAAGGGCTAATGCAATTCTTGGATGTATAAACAGGTGAATATTGATTAGGAATAGGGAGGTTATCAAGGGTGGCAGGTTTGTATAATTTTTGGTGGTGCCCAGAACAGGTCCAAGTCAGGCCCCCCTCCCACACCTGATATATATATTTGAAAATAATGTAAAAATGGACTAGAAACAGTGAGTGTTTAACTGTTTCCCTATATTGCACAATGGGGGGGGACACAGATGAGGGCTCTGGCTGGGGGTGAGGGCTTTGGGGTGGGGCTGGGGATGAGGGGTTTGGGGTGTGGGAGGAGCTCAGGGCTAGGGCAGAGGGTTGGTGTGCGGGGGTGCAGGTTCTGGGGTGGGGCGGGGGATGAGGAGTTTGGGGTGTAGGCAGGCTGCCCCCGGGCTGGGGCCAGAGAGGACTCCCCCCATCCCTCTCCCTGCTGGCAGCAGCAAGCTCTGGGGAAGGGGTTCCCCTGTCCCCCCAGCAGCACACTCACCCTGCACCACTGTCACTGCACGTGCTCCTAGGGCCCCTCAGGTCCGGGGGTTGCACTTCCTTGGAGCAAGAAATCCTCATGCAAAAACAAGAGCGATAAGAGTTCAGAGGGAAAACCGACAATCAACAAACTTTTCCCTACCCTCAACTCTGGAGAGAGATTACCGGGGGTGGGGGTAGGAGCAGGAGAGAGAGACTTCATGCTGCACCTGGGGAGAAGCCCTGAAAGGAGCCGCTCACGTGCGGGGAGATGCAGCAAGGAGTCCTGCTGGTCATGGGGCAGTGGGAGGCTACATTGCACCTAGGGAGACAGAGGGGAAAGAAGTTGGCTCAGTGGGAGTGGGGGAGAGGAGAAGCAGTGAAGTTGTTTGCAGCAAGGACACAGGAAAACAGCCCGAGTTTCTCCCTACAAAGTGGAGATATTGAGGAGGAAGGGGGCGGGGGTCAGAGTGCCCTGGCTACAGCCACAAAGAAGGAAAACCAGTCCAGGCTGCAGGCAGGGTTGCTCTGGGGGAGGGGCGGCAGGTGGGGCCGGGGGAGAGACCCGGCCCCAAACATTGGTGGAACTGGGCCCTGAATATTGCTGGAGCATGGGCACCACAGGCCCATATAACTCGCCGCCCCTGGAGGTTATATTACCTCTGTATTTGGCACTGGTGCAACAGCTACTGGAATAGTGTGTCCAATGCTGGTGCCCACAGTTCTAGAAGGATGTCGGTACACTGGGGAGGGTTCAGAACAGAGCCATGAGAGTGTCTAAAGGGTTGGAAAATGTGCCTTGTAGTTATAGACTCAAGGAGCTCAATCTATTTAGCTCAACAAAGAGAAATTGAAGGGGTGACTTGATCACAGTTTATAAATACCTACATGGGGAACAAATATTTGATAATGTGCTCTACAATATAGCAGAGAAAGGTATAACTAATCCAGTGGTATGACATTGAAGCCAAACAAATTCAGACTGGAAATAAAGATGTAAATTTTTAACAGTAAGGGTAATTAACCAGTGCAACAATTTCCCCAGGGTTGTAGAGGATTTTCCATCACTGGCAATTTTTAAATCCAGCGTGGATGTTTTTCAAAACCATATGCTCTAATTCAAGCAGCAGTTAATTCAGGGAAGTCCTGTGGCTTGTGTTATTCGGATAAGAGGGGTCCCTTCTGGCCTTACATTCTATAAATCTGTAAATATTGTTATGAAAGCACAAAATTCAGCCTCAAATGCTCCACACCTATCCAGATAGAATGAAAGTTTCAGTTTTGCTGAAAGGCTTGTGGGGTCCAAAATTTTCCTACAAATGTTGGCTGATTGTGAGTATGAACATAAAATGAAATCAGCCAAGTTTGACATGGCTTAGGGTTTCGTAGCTCATCACTAGTCATTACAGTATAATTACATTTTGCACTTATAGCTTCTTTGTCCTTGGTATTATTGTTCCCATTTTATAGATGTAGAAACTGAGGCACAGCAAGACAAAATATGTTACCCAAAGTATCTGTGGCAGGGCCAGGACTAGAACAAAGATCTTCTGACACTCAGTCACCTACCTTAACCACTAGATATGCTCCTTCCCAAGATTTCCAAATATAACAGTAGAATATATTCCTTTCATTATTTAGTTTCTTGACTTTTATACATTTAAAATATCAGCCACAGCACTGAATTTATGTAATGTTACACAAATTATCTTTTTTTGTTTTTCTAAAGAAAAGAGGAAGAGACACTAGAACAAAATACAAAAAACTTCCGGTACCTCTGAATATTATTTATCCTTTGTCAAATAGCAGCAGGAGGAGGAAATCAACAACTTCATAACTAAACTGTGATAGAAATAGTAAATAATAATAATAATGCCATCCCCAGGATTCTGAATAGCAGTGATGAAATTGACCAATCACGTTAATTTTACCCTGATGCAGCTTGGCAAAGCTATGAGCAACAGCAGAGGTACTAGAAATGTAGACAATGCTGCATTGAGTTATATTTCATTCACATTTGGAAGATTTTCTTTGTCATTATAATGACAAGAAGATTAGTTTTTTTTAAATGAAGATTTTAATTCTGAACTTTTGTTGCATATGCTTGCACCTGCTGTCCCTCTCGAGAGTATTTTAAGCAAGTATTGCAATAGTACTATGATAAAAGATGCAGGCTAAGAAAAACACAGATTTGTCTCAATGGCATATTCTTGTTTATAAAGGAAAGGAAGAATCGGAGAAAGAGAGTACTGAGGGGACTATACTTGGTGACAACTTAAGCCAGCCAGACTTGGCAGATGGAGAGAAGTTTGACATTTCCAAAGATCCTGAAACAGAGCTGGACGCAGAGAAGCCAAATGTGTCCGCAACAGAAGGTGAGTAGAGGTTTTATCCAAGTTTAATGGTAGTCTAATGTTTCAATCATCATGTAAGGTCTCCATTAACTCAGTCTAAAAAGTCAGGGGTGGGCAGAATATGATATGGTTATGTTCTTACTGTTCATGGTTACTGTGTTAGATAGAAATGGAGAAGGAATCAAGAAAGGATAGGACAGTTGTGGAAAAGAGCAAATTCTCCCAGGTGGAAAGAAGTCAAACACTGTAAAGGAATAGGATATAAGGCAGTTGATCTTGGAGAAAAGAATGAGTGAGATGAAACTCACTTTTCCGGAGAAGTGCCTTTAAATTCAAAATCAAAGCTGTAGAAAAGTGCAGTAATTGGCAGGAAGTTCTGAACGGAAAGGTAATAACTAGAGCTGGGTGTGACTTGCCATTTTCAAAGGGGAACTCAGAACAATACCAGCAATATTTTATTTAGCCTCATGCATGGAATAAGGGACAGGGAAGAGGGTGTTCAAGGATCCAGTTGTCATATAATCAGACCAATGTTACAAACTTTTGTTATCAAAGCACAAAATTCAGCCTCAAACACTTCACACCTATCCAGAGATAGCACGAGTTTCAATTTTGCTGAAAGGCTTGTGGGGCCTAAACGTTTCCTACAAAAGTGGGCTGATTTTTGTGTGTGAATATGGAAATGAAATCAGCCAGTTTGGCATGATTTAGAGTTTTGTTGCTCTACCCCACCTCTAGCTCATCACTAGTTGTTACAATATAATTACATTTTGCAGTGATTGCTTCTTTTTTTCCTGAGTCTCTCACGGTGCTGAAAAAAACTTGGTACTATTGTTCTCATTGTATAGATGTGGAAGCAAAGGCACAAAAAGTTGAAGTGTGTCATCCAAGGTCACAAAGGGAGTCTGTGGCAAAGCCAGGAATAGAACTCAGTTCTCCTGACTCCCAGTCTCCTGCCTAACCACTAGATATGCCCCTTTCTAAGGTTTCCAATATATAACAGTGAAATATTTTCTAGTCATCATTTAATTTCGTGACATTTATACATTTAAAATATCAACCACAGCACTGCATTTATGTAGCCTTGTGCATTGAAATACCATTTTGTTTTGATAAAGAAAAGGGGAAAGACAGGAGGACAAATTGCAAACAAAAAAGAAAGATGCTATCTCTGCATTGGGTTATTCATTGTCACACTTCTGAATGTATGGTTTATCTATCCCACATTCAAATAAAGGCATCATTTGATCCTGATGGCAGCTCTGTATGTTGTTTTATATTTAGGTAATCCACTAGTCTTAATAATAACTCGTTGCTAGTAATTTAACAACGGTCTTTATTGGATACATAATTAACATATATACAGAGCATCTGACCTCAGGTCAGTCCATCAGTCTAACCTAATACCAAACTGCCTCCTCCAGCTGTCAGCTCCCACACCCTGGAGATTCTATTCACTCTCCTAAAGCCACAACACCACTCTCTGCATCTTCAAAGCTCTCTGTGTTCTTACAACTTTACTGACAACTTGTGGGACTCCTTTGTGTCAGCAAAATTGCCTATTAACAACTTATTTTTGATAAGACTGAGAGGCATGACTGCACGCATTTCCCTGTCTTGAGACCTGTTGTGGCTTATAAGCAGCATGGCCAGGAAGAACGCAGTTTGAGAGATTGTGGAGCTCCTCTTTGAAGCTCCACAGCCTAAAGCCCTGGTGGCTGAAAGTGAAAGAAAACTTGATTTTAACCCTGGATGTGTGCCAATAAAGCAATGCTGAGGGACCAGGATAGGCCTCATGTAGTTTTATAGACCGATAACTTGTGAACCAGTACTGAAAGGAACAGCATTAGTTTCCAGCTCTGGCAAATTGTGAAACATTGGATCTAAAAATAATATTCTGGTTAACATTTTGCCTTTTTTCCATTTGAATTCTGACATGATTTTAGTGGTCACTATGTCCAGAAGTAATAGAAATTGAACTCCTTGCATTATATCATCTGAAGTACTCCTTAATTCTAGAAGTTTAGGAAATGCTGTTAAAAATTCATATGAGAAACAACTGTTGCAAAGACACCTAGGTGGTGAACCAGTACAAATGCTTCCTGGACTAGTCAACATGTAAAAGCCTGGTAATGGGATCAAAGACAAAAATTCTGATCTCTGAACTTCCTCAGCACTTTCAATCCCTGTGGCATAGTACACAAACACCACTGTATTACAAACTTTGAGCACTGCAACAACATGCTGCCACTAGACCCTTGATGGGTCTCAGAATGAAATCTTCATACTCACCTTTCAGCCTGAAGCATTTTTCAGAGCTGAGTAGATTTATAATGGAAGCTGAGTAGATTTATAATGACACATCCCTACTTTTAATAATAAATGATTGATTAATAATTAATTACAATAATTTGAACTTTCATAGGACTTTTTGCCATAGATACCAAAACACTTTACTAAGATGGATAAGAGTTGTTATTCTCATTTAACATATGGGATAAGTGAGGCATAGAGAGGTTAAGTGGCTGGCACAAATTTACACAAGATGACAGTGGCAGATTTGGGATTGGAAGCACTCCAATCTCTGGACACCCTACCCTGTATTCATTCAACTTGCCTGCAGCTATATCTGTAGTAGAACCTCTGGTCAAATATTACCAGCCCCAAGTCTATTGTGGTTGGAATCATAGAATATCAAGGTTTGAAGGGACCTCAGGAGGTCATCTAGTCCAACTCCCTGGTCAAAGCAGGACCAATCCCCAGACAGATTTTTGCCCCAAATCCCTAAACAGCCCTCTCAAGGATTGAACTCGCAACCCTGGGTTTAGCAGGCTAATGCTCAAACCACTTAGCTATTTGCAAGTGTACAAAATCAAGAGTCAGGACTCTAAAATCATGAGATTGGCTTAAATATCCTGAGGTGTTTTTTTTTTTTTTTTTTTAATAGATTTTGGGTTCTTTTCATCTACTGGGTTTTGAGCCTTCAGAATTTATGTTTTCAAGCTTTTTTTCAGCAATCATGAGGGCTAGAAATGTACTTTTTATTTTAAATGAAAGCTGAGATTCATGACTCCAGGAACTGGCACGTTAAGAAAAACAACAAATATCACAGAACTTGCAATATAATTCCCAGTGTCGGCAACACTGCTGTTATAATGGAACTAGGAGGCCATCTGAAAAGTATAGGTGGACAGACTAATAGGTTTAATTAATTGTTTATCATGAGGGATGTAACCAAACAATACATAAATATAGACAGATTCTTATTACTGATCTGTCTATAAGACATGCTCTTGTTTATAAAGGAGAAATGGAAGTCCCAGAGAACGGGAGTTCTGATGAGAACAAACCTAGGAAAGGTTCGGATCAGGAGGATCAGGCAGATGTGGAAAAGTTTGACTCTTCAAAGGATTATGCAGGAGAGCAGGACGCTGAGAAGATCCTTGAACCATTAGGAGAAGGTGGGTGGATTTTTTCCAGCGTTTGCAGGTCGAATACATTCCAATTATATAATAACTTCTCCATCCTCCAGTGTCCCATGATACGATGTTTGTCAGCACTCTGCATTTCATTGGCTATTTCCACTCCCCTGAAACTGGAACCCCCCAAGTGATCTTTCCTAGCATAGATTTTTATCCAATGTGAAACTAGGGATGGATTCCTTAGGGACTTTTTATTTCTTGGTTTGAAAGCTCTGGTTCCAGAAAACAAAGGGGATCCAGTTAGACATTAACTGTGCATTTCCATGCTTTCAAATGTTCAAGTTTCTTTTAAGTTGAACCTTAACGCTGAATTTTCTGGATTTCTAATACTTTTTTTTTTAAACTACAATAGTCTTGAAAGTTGTTTTTAATCTTTAAATTGCTCATATATACTTTCAATCTTAACTCCATCTTAAAGTGTCTTGTTTGGGAATAGATGCTTACATGAAATCAAAAAAAGCAAGAGACACAGAGCAAGTTAAGATTGAGACTAAGG